AAAGGAGAAGCTTTTAGATGATTTTATGGTGGGATGAGATTGAATACATCATAAATTTCACAGATCCAATTTATGAGATGTTGAGAGTAGCTGATACAGATAAGACATGTTTATATCTCATTTATGAGATGTGGGATTTAATGCTTGCCAAAGTAAAAGAAATTATATATAGACATGAGAGGAAGGCACTTCATAAAGATTCAAGCTTCTGGGATGTTATTTATGCTATTCTAGAAGATAGGGGAGCAAAAGTAATACACATTTACTTTGCTTGGCTCACTCACTAAATCCCAGGTAAATTTAAAAAATTTTCATTATTAATTCACAATTTATTGTTTAGTAATTTCAATATTTTTTAATTATTTCATTTTAATATTTTTTGAAGATATTCAACTAAAGAATGACTTCAAGATGATTCTCAAAGAGTTTCTCCACAAAAAGATTTAGAAATTTCAAATATGAGGAAGACATATTTGAAGTGTTATTTTTCAAATGAGGAGAGAAGAAGTGTCAATATTGAACTTGCTAAATTTTTTGGTTATTTAGAGGACTTTGGTGATCAAGAGTCATTGCGTGATAGGTGGAGAATTGATCCGAAAATGTGGTGGATTATACATGAAGTTTCAGCACCTCTACTTCAAACAATCGCCATAAAATTGCTTGGCCAAGTTTCATCCTCATCTTGTTGTGAAAGAAATTGGAGCACATACTCGTTCATCCAATCAATGAAGAGAAATAAAATTACTCCACAACGGACTGAAGATTTAGTTTATGATAATACCTTATTTAAGAAAAGGAATGAACATCTCATCACTTATAAAAATGGATATAGTACAACCCAGATTGACTATTTTCTTATTAGAATATTAAATCGTTTAGATTATAAAGTTATTCCGAGTGAAAATTTATGTACCCAACATTGATTATTAGTTTTAGACTTTAAGATAAAGGGGCATAAAATAAAAAATATAGTAAAACGATTTTCTAGGATTAGATGGGGGAATTTAAAGAATATTAACAAAAAATTTTTTGAGAGTAAGATTTTAGATCTTAAGATTTTGTCTGTGCATGAGGATGCTAATGTTATGTGGGAAAAAGTGGCTAGTGATATTAAGAATATTGCAAAAGTTGTGCTTGGAGTATCAAAGGGAAAAGCTCATAATAATAAAAATATTGGTGGTGTGAATCCAAATGTGCAAGAAAAGATTAAAAATAAGAGATTTGTTTATAAAAAATTAGTTTAATTTTAAAAATTCTGATAATTGCGGGAAATATATAAAGTGACTCGTAAGATTTCTAAGAAAGAAATATGCAATGCAAAGAGCATTAGTTTTAGTGATTTATATAATAGTATAGTACTAAGGAGGGAGAAAGAGATGATAAATGTATGTATAAGTTAACAAATAAAGAGGATAAGAAGTAGTAAGGATTTAGTTCAAGTGAAGTGTATTAAGGATGAAGATCAAAAAATACTTTTCTTAGAAGATGATATTCAACAAAGGTGGATTGAGATATTTGCTAAACTTTTAATGAAGATTGTGAAAATAAGATTGACTATAATGACCTTAGCACCCTAAATGAAAATAAAGATTTTTGTTTTTATCAGCGTATTAGTAAAATTGAATTTGAGAGGCTTTAAAGAAAATGAAGTGTGGAAAAGCTTGGACCTGATGATATTTCCAATAAGGTGTGAAATGCTTAGGAGATGAAGGAATTTCTTGGCTTACTAAACTTTTAATACTATTTGAAGACTAAAAAGATGTCAGATGAGTGGAGAATGAGTGTGTTAATTCCTATTTTTAAGAATAAAGTGATGCACAAATGTGCGAATTATAAAGGTATTAAGTTAATGTGTCATACTTTAAAACTATGGGAGTGAGTTATGGAGCATAGGTGGCGGCGTGATACTAATGTTTCTCAAAATCAATTTGTGGATTCATGCCGGATAGGTTAACTATGGAAGTTATACATTTATAAGAGGTTGATGGAGAAAATATAAAGTAAATAAGGAGGATCTACATATGATATTTGTTGATTTAGAAAATGCATATGATAAAGTTCCAAGAGAAGTGCTATGGAGAGTTCTTGAAAAGAAAGGAGTCAATAATGCTTATATTCAAATCATTAAAGATATGTATGCAGGAGCTATTACTTGTGTTCAAACACAAGGTGGTTTGACCAAGTATTTCCCTATTTCGGTTGGGTCACATCAAGGATCAGCCTTATTTCGGTTGGGTTACATCAAGGATCAGCAATGTTTTATGGTGCCGAATGTTAGCCATTAAAAGAGAAGCATAATACTAAGTTAAGTGTGGCAGAGATGAGGATGCTCAGGTGGATGAGTGGCTTTACCCTTAGAGATAGGATACGAAATGAGCATATACATGAAAATATTGGAGTAGCTCAGTAGAAGATAAGATTAGAGAGAGTCGCCTTAGATGGTTTGGTCACATATAACGGCGGCCTTCTGATGACCCGGTTAGGAGAGTAGAGATATTAGATTTGACTTATGTAATAAATGTAGGGTAGACTAAAAAGACTTGGTTAGAAAATATTAGGAATGACCTTTCTTTATTAGATTTAAACGAGAATTTGACTTTTAATAGGACACAATAGAGAAAAAGGATTCACGTAGCCGACCACCACATAATGGGATAAATGCTTGATGTTGTTGTTATTGTGTTGTTGTGGGCTGAAGATTTAGTTTATGTGCATACAAACCTTCAGCTTCTCTCAAGGAAAACTCCAACTTATATGGAAGGAGACAACAGGATGTGGTGTGTTTGCTGTAGATGGATTTGGAAATCTCTTGAGGATATGGGAATATTAGAAATTGCTAATCTTTCACTTGATGAGCCTGAATTAGAGGCTATGATATTTATTGAAGATGATATAGAAACTCAAAGACAAACCGCTGAAGAAGCTAATCCTATCATTCCTTCTATTGAATAGTTGAAATTTCATGTGCTGGACAATTTATCTTCTTGTTTTTGTTGTTGTACTAGACATTTAAATATTTAATGCTTACTTTTATTTTAATTTTTTTGTCATTTCAAATATTACACTTTGATTACTTTCTTAAATTTTTATGTATTTTTTATATATTATAATGATGTATCTGCGTCGTATCCGTATCCTGTATTTTTAAGAATTGGCATGTCCCGTATCCGTATCGTGTCATATCCGTATCGCTGTATCTGTATCGGTGCATCATAGGTCTCATCTTAATTTGCGGCATTACATAGATCATGCATGCTTTCTCTGTTTGCCATTCATTAAAAGAGTTGAATGAGGGATCTCTTTTGTAGTGACTAATCTCATTGTTAATTTAGGAATTTCTCGTTGACAATCCTTCGTGTATGCTATGCTTGAGTAATTGATTATTTTGTAATCTTAACTTCTAGTTGTATGACTTGGCCTAAGCTAGTTTCACCCATCTCTCGTTTTCTTTCATTGTTTAAATTGCTATAGTTTAATAGTTAATATTGCTATCATCTAAAAAACGTGCAATTTCATATTTAATATTGCCTAAGAATTTAAGTCCTACATCAATTCTCTTAAGAGATTTCATATTAGACCAAGTGGCTTTATCAAATTCTAAGAGTTCATCAGCATATAACAATTGAGATATGCAAAGATTACCCACTTTAAAACTTGAGAAAGAGCCATGTTGAAACACATTATCAAAAGTAGTTGAGAGTGCATTCATCACAATGCAGAAAAGATAGGAAGAAAGGGGGCATCCTTGTCTCAGCCTAGAAGAGAGTTAAAAAACCCTCTAAATTTCCATTGATACAGAAGAGAAATGAAAATCCTCAATGCAAACCTTAACCCATCTAAGAAATCTGTTAGGAAAATCTTTGAGTTTTCTCCTGTTAAGCAAAAAATCTCTATATACAAGGTCGAAAGCTTTGAAAATTTCAAATTTGGCACAGAACAATCCCTCCTTAGCAGACTTAAATTTTGATAAAATTTCAGAAGCAACGAGGATATTATCAGAAGGCATACTATCTTTAATGAAGCTAGCTTGAGAGTGTTCTATGATAAAAAGCATAATAAGTTTTAGCCTATTGGTAAGGATCTTAACAATGATCTAATATAATGTATTACAAAGGAAGATAGGCCTGTAATCCTCGATGTTCCCAACTTTGGTGGTTTTGGGAATGTGTGATATCCCAATACCTTAGATCTTCTTGGGGAGGTAGTTTATCTGAAAGAAGTGTTGAACCGCTTTGCAAACAGGAGGGAGGAGGGGTATTTAAAATATGCCGGTAGTGATTGATAGCTGCATTGGCAATGTCAGCGTGAGTGTGGAAGGCCCTTTGATCCATGATAAGCTCCCTAATAAAATTATAGTTTTTTCTACCTCTAATTTTACCATACAAAAACTTGAGGTCTTCTCCCCCCTTAGCAAGCCAATTAGTTTTCCCTCCTTGAGAAATCCAAGAGGATAAGGTGGTATAAGAATTGGCCAAATTATAACCAAGGAGTTTTGCCATAGACACAAGCTCCAAGTTTGTGGGGTCTTTATTGAGAAGTTCAAAGCAATTTTCTTGCTGGTTCTCCAGTTCATTAACGGAAGCAGAAAGGTGATTTGAAGATTGCCAATTCTGAGCTTTAATGAGGAGTTTCAACCTTTTAAGCTTATGGTAAAGAGAGTCAATCTAGCTCTCTAACTATTCACGGCAACTGTTTAATATCAAGACATTTTGAATTAGGAATGGTGAATAACGCTATAAGTAATTGCTAACTTTTAATGGCATTCAAAAAGATGTGTTTCGTCTGAAATTTAGTCTTTAGAAAAGCTAGAAGTGAGATTTGAAAGCAATCCTCCTAGAACTTGAATTTCTTTTCTACATGTATTTTTCATCACTAATTATTTGTATGAAAATTACCTTATACATGTTATTGCGCTGGCTACTAAAGAAAATTGCATTTCTAGTTTTTTTTATGTGCTATTTTTTACTTGCATTAATATAGGGTGATTTATTGTTTTCCAGCATTCTCGATTACTAGAAAGGCCTTTGGAGCTTGTTTCCAAGCATGGTGTCATTTCACAGAAAACATCATCTGTAAGTATACCATAAAACCAAAAACGTTTATTTTGTGAAAGCAATTGCTTTTCCTGCAAGATAGAATTGAATGGATGATTCAGTTGTGGCAGTCTTAAGTAGTGATTCATTATGTTTGTGCTTCATTAGAATGGATACTTCATGGAGCTTTTGGAGTTTCTTATGTTACACGCATCAATTCGGTTGTTCAATCTCCCTAATTCTAGCCTACCAAATTCAAAATTTATTATATGAAAATCTTAGGTTTTAGGGTTCTCTAATAAAATTTTGGATCAATTGCCTAAATAAACAGACAAAATTTTGTAATTCACATACATCCAAGTTCCAACTTTGAATTTAAATAATGATCAGTTTCTTTTTATGCGAAATCAGAAAGCATGATTCAAGCATTCCAAATCCTAATTTAAGTTTTCAAATTTTAAAATTCTACAAGAAATTTGAAAACAAGTATAAATTTTGCGACAATTAATATTTAGATCACAAAGACAAAAACCAATAAAACTTGGCAAAATCTCAACCATTTGTCCAATCAATCACTAAATGATTTAGAAGGACAATAATATGAATCCACAATTGGATACCCTAGGTCTCCCGCAGGCAGGTTATAAGGATAACCAACCCTTGGGGAAGTGCTTGAAGAATCCTCACCCAAAGCATCCAGGCAAATTGACAAGGAGTCGAGGATTCTAAAATTTATTATCCAGTGAATTCCTTTTTCGTGCTTAAAGGCTATTTTTTTCTAATTATAAAATATTTATAATTGAGAAGTTCACCAAAATCTCAAAATTTGGACTGGAGCTACAAAAACGACTACTTCCCATTTGAGCAAAACAGCAAGATCCAAACTCTAGCTGAGGCAAGTTTGATGTCTTCGACAATACCAAAGGAAAAAATACCAAATTCAGCACATTGGGAAATTCAAAGCAACCTCTATAAATAAGTTCCCAAATAGGAGAACAAAGAGATGCGGGATCAACAATGGTAGATTAACGGCTCTAGTTACACTAGTTAACACAATCAAAGCCTTCCGAGGAATCTAGCTGCACGGCATGGCCTGCAATCCACATTTTCGAATTTGTTACAATATGCAATCCATGCTTCAAACTAATCTATGAAAAGAGAAGCTGCCAATCACGGCTTGAAAAAGGAAACTGAAAGTTTCGAGAAGCATTAATGAGCTTTCCAATTAACATCAATAAAAGCCTTCTAATGGAAGGGCTAATGGCTGCACACTCATTTGAAAGTCCAACAAAAGTAAGCCAACCCAGTAGTGAACCCATAGTTGCAAAAGAGAAAGCCAAAGGTAAACTGAATAACAATCCAAAGAATCAATGGCTGAACCAAGGAGCTACCTGCTCAACCAACTCAAACCATTCAAGATTTCTCAAGATAAATCTAAAATCACAACTCACTCACTAGTTGTTGAACCAATATTAATGCAACCATTGATGAAGGACATTTTAGGATGTGGGGTTCACTAATGCAAATCTATAATGTGATAAGTAAATAATTTCTCAATTCATAATTTCTTAGCTTTAATTTAAGCAAATATTAGTTAATTTTAATGCAAATTCTGAAAAAAACTTTATTCGATCAGAGGATAATGTCGAAGGCATTAAAATTTAAATTTTCACAAGAAATAAGAGAATAGGCAAAATTCCATTGCAATTAAGATTCACACTATTAAAACAATGTCGGTATGTAGCATTTTGATGAAATTTTAATCAACGCATAAACCAATTACTAAACAATTTAAAAAAGAAAAATTATGGAAGTCACCAATAAGATAAACCAAGCCTCACATCAGTTCAAGTAGAATTGTCCATTGGAATTTATGAAGATTTACTAAGTGATCGAAGAATCCACATCCAATAACACGCAAGAATTGAGAGAAAACCTAAAGCATTCAACCATTTAATAGTAATTTTACATATGTTAAGGGTCGTGTTATATCTGAGGAAGATTGAAATAAATAACGTTTTAAAATCCTTTGTGATCTAGCTTAATATTACTAGTTTCAATTGAACACCCTTGAATTCCTACAAAATTCCTACAAGATTACCACATTTTCAATCCTAGTTTCAATAAAATAGTAAAGAGAAAATTATCAAAATGGTTTCTTAACTCTTCATGAAAGATCAAATTAGTCCCCAATTATATTAAAAAACTATTTTGGTCTCTCAACTCTTTAAAGATCAACAAAAATAGTTCCATCATAGGATTATTTTGATTCTTTTTAAAGACTTGAGGGAAAAAATGGTCTTTTAATATAGTTGAGGATCATTTTTGTCATTCATAAATAATCAAGGGATCATTGTGGTCCTTTTCTCAAATAGTAATTTTTCAACCTTAAAAATTTTGATTCCAACAATCTAGCAAGTCTTGTATTTGCTCCAATATTAATTAGAAAGAGCCGCCTTAGATGGTTTGGTCACATAAAATATCGGCTTCCGATGATCTAGGTTGGAGAGTCGATGTATTAGATTTAGCCTATATTAAGAAAGGTAGAGGTAGATTTAAAAAAACTTTGTTAGAGAATATTAGATATGACATTGTTTTATTGGATTTAATTAAGAATTTGACTCTTAATAGGACACAATGAAGAAAAAAGATTCATGTAGTCAACCGCTCATAATGGAATAAAGGCTTGATGTTGTTGTTGTTGTTGACACCAAGAAAGGAAGAAGCTGAATACAATAATACCCAAAAGGAAACCAAGCGGATTGACATGGTTACAATGCTAGAGAAGGAAAAAAATCTTACAAGAAAAACCCAACTTATGATTTGAGTTTCTACAGCAATATAGTTTCTGTCCTTAAATATTATGCTGGCATTGAGAATAAACTTATCAATGCTTTAGGTAGAGTTGTCATTTTACATATAATGCAGGTTAAGATGATTGATTTTATCATATAGAGGATTATATTACTTGTCAGGATTTTAGTGAGATATATCCTCAATCATATATAGAGGATATAGTTAAAGATGGTTATTTATTTAAGAGTTCTTCTCATCGTTGCATTTCTGATTCATCTTTGAGGAATCTGATTTTAGAATTACATGTTAAAGGTGTTGTGAGGCATTTTGAAAAAGGGAAAGTCATAGAAATGATGAAAGATTAATATTTCTTAGCCTAATTTAAAAAGAGATGTGGCTCATATTTATTGCACAGTGTAGGATTTGTTAAGAAATACAGCACTAGTCTATACATCTTTGTCAGTTTCATGTTAAGCTATGGGGTGATGCTTATATGATTTTTTGTTAGGTTACCTCCAGCTTTAAGGAAGATTATTTAATTTTTTTAATGTTTGATTATTTTTTTAAATGACTCTTTTCATATCATATTATAAAACTTCTGATGCATCTCACCTTGTTAAATTATGTTTTCATGAGGTGTTAAATTGCATGGATTACTAAAATAATTATTTTTTATTAGGATATTAAATTCAGAAGCTATTTCTGAAAAACTCGTTGAAAATGAAATATAATATCAATTTTAATTGCTTATTACCTACAAACTATTAGGCAAATTGAGATAGTTAATCGAAGTTTGGATGGTTTATTATGTTGTCTGATAAATGAACATGCATCTGGTTGGGATATGATATTGCTTATGGCTGATTTTGCATACAATTTATGAAATTGTAATAGTATTTCAATCTAAAGCACTCGTTGAGTTTCCAATGTTTTGCATGAGGACATTCATAGAAAATTGGCTTCTAATCTTGTCAATTATAAGCTTTTTATTGATTTCAATAGGAGTTATGTGGAGTTTAAACAATTGTATAAAATGATAGTATTTTTATATTATGTTTCACTTCTTTCAAGAAACTTCCCTGTTTGCCCATCATCAATTTATACCACTTTGTGTCCACCAGTTTCATCTCCAATTGGTCCACGATCTAATTGGAGATGAAATTGTGGGTTGCCCCACTGTCGATAAGCACCATCACCTCCTTGTTTGCTCTCTTCTCACTTTTATGGTGTGATTTGGAGTGAATCCCACCACTAAGTTCAAGGAGATCTCTGTCATATTTAAATGCAGCTTTTCCTCCTCTACCAATGCCTCTCCCACCTCCCTCCTCAGCTTCCTCATCATCACACACGGTGAGAACTTGAAGAGTTTGGTCTTTATAACTGTACCCCGGTGTACACCTCTCATCACATCTGAAACACGGTCCCTTCACCCTCTTCTCCTACAACTTTTCCATGAGCTTCTTGAAGTTTCCCTTGATTCCCCCTCCTAAAGGCTTCTACTTTGGGGTCTTTCGGAGGCTACACGGTGTCGGCCCCTTGAGTGCTAAAAAGTTGGTGGTCATCCTATACAAGCCTCCTAAACCGCTGCCTCTGACCTCCCTCTCGAGGTGCTTTTGATCCCCCACTAACTGGGCTAGCTCTATGGTCTCTCCCAAATCAGGAGATCTCATAACTCTAACTTCCATTCGGATTTCTGGTTTGAGCTATTTCATAAAGTTCCCCTCTAGTATAGTCTCAAAAAGCCGGCTCAGTTGGCTAGCAAGGTATTCAAATCTCTCACGGTATTCCATCACTGATTCTTCTTATGTCAGAGCGAAGAATTGCTCATAAAAGTCCCCTCCCTTGCTGGTTTGAAAACGTTCTAACAAGTAGTCCTTGAACTCCCTCCTACTTCGTATGGGTCACCTTATGTCTGTCCACTAATACCATGCAAAGGCCTTCCCTTTCAAACATAGGCCAGCTGTCGTCAGTCTCTCCTCCTCCATCAGCCCATTGACAATAAAATACCTCTTCACCTTATAGATCCACCAGTGTGCATCATCTCCCTAAAAAATAAGCATCTTCAGCTTCCTAATCATCGGATCTCCTCTGCTCCCCCTGATTCCTCCATAACTTCCTATTCCTCAAGTGGGTGGTCTCCCCAAAGTGTGTGGATCATCCCTTCCACGGTTGTAACCAAAATCAGCACCTCTCCGATCATAATTAGCCTCCTTATTTCAAATTTAGCACCCCTTTGTTCTTAC